CCCGCGGGCAGCGGACAGGGTTATCCGCTGCCCACGCGCTCCGCGGCTTGGCTCTGCTTTGCCCCCCCGTCTCCCTGGCGGTCAGTTTCAGCAGCGGCTGAATCTGGACGCCAGTTCCGACTTACATACAGATTCAACTTAAGAACAAACCTACAGTCCCTATCTTGTACGTAACCCGAGGACTGCCTGTACCATGTCCCCTGCTCCCACCAGCACAGTTGAGGCCACGTTAGTGAGACTTGTGGGGTTTTGGAGGTGTTATTTTTTTGCATCTTGTGTGGCCCCAACTGACTTTTCTGTGGGTCAGTGACCCCTGACTCAAAACAGGTTCCCTGCCCTTCTCATAAATAAAGACAATGCTGAAACTGTTTGTTTGACATAATACTTTATTAAAAAATGAAGCCTTGCCAAAAAAAAACCCTAATTGGGACCAAGCCCCTTCTGGTATATAACACTCCTGTACCTCCCCCAACCCCAAATCTGAGCCTATCATACACTGGAACCCCCTGTCCTGAGCTTCTCACATCCCCAAATGCCTGCACCCCCAACATCCTCAGTCTTCTGCCACAATACTCCTGCACCATCCACACACTGTAAAACTGTGTTCTCAGCTCATCATACTCCCAACCTCCCTGCCCTGAGCCCCTCACATACCCCAACCCAAACTCCACCCTCACATCCACAAGCCTGTGGCTTGCTCATCACCCCAACCCTCCGCCTGACCCCGACACTCCCCAGCCTGGAGCTCCCTCCCCGAGCCAGGATCTCCTCCACCTCCTCCTGTACCCAAATCCCTCCCAGAGCTTGCACCTCTCACCCCTTCTCACACTTAAATCCCTCATTCCCACCTGAGAGCCTGTCTCAACCCAGTGAGGGTATGGCTAGACTGCAGGAGTTTTTCTGGGATTCCAGAGATATCCCAGGAAAACTCTTCCATGTCTAGGAACATGTTTGTTGTTCTGCTTTTTTTAGCGGAAGAGCAAACATGCTCTTTCGGCAACCCGTGTATCCCGCATTTTACAAGGACTA